ATGCATGCTTGCATTGTTATAGTTCTGCTGCATGGGGGCGTGCTTTGCAACAACGTGTGCATGCATGCATGCATGATTGCACGGTTCCTTAGTAAGAGGTTGAAAACCCTTTGTTTCAATGATATAAGGAGTATTGCCTGTCGGTTGCTCTTTGTTCCCCTTTGCAATTAATATTGCTTCAGCTTAGACCTCTCTGGTTTTACTGAAGGAGCGAAGGAGGTGCTATGGGATGGCGCATGCAGTGAAGTTCTTCTGGTCATCACCGCGAGACAACGCGCAATTCCTTTTGTCTTTTCTTCTGAAACTCTTTCATCTGAAGAACGCTTTGTTCAGGTGACTCCCCCCTCTTCATGATGGCCATCACCGTGATGATATGGCATTTCTACCAAGGCAAACAAGCAAACGCGCATGCATGCATGCATGCATGCGTGCATCCAGTATCTGTCAAAACGAGTCTTTGGCTTTCTGGGGTACCCGCAGGTACCTGTGCTGCAGCTACAAGGGCGGAAGGCTGTTCAAGTTGGCGTTTGCTGCTCCACTCTCGACGCCGCAGCAGCCCCCGTTGCTCTTTATGATGGTAAGCAGCAGCTGTGTAAGAAGGAGACAGCAGAATTCAATGGTTGGTTAGGAGGCAGCGTGTAATGAATAATAAATAAATAATGTTGTCTATAATAGTACAATGCATTGAATAATGTTGTATATTCGTATTTCTCTTCTCCCGCTGCATTCTATAACACACCATTCTCTGTTGATACCCCAACTCAGGAAATTTGTTTACGTGCTATTCTGAATTGCACGTTGGTGCACTATTTATTTTATTATTTTTTATCAGATTATATTTTCTCGTTCCCATTCCTATTCTTGCTTTTTATTCATTTATTCCACAATAATATTCTCATATTATTGAATAAAAGGAAGAAAGCGAGGGTAGGAATAATATAATATTAATTGTTTTCAAAAATAATAAAATATATACTTGTGTGATTGCCTTTCTCTTTCTCAGGCACTCTCTACAGCGTCTCTGCATGCGGCAATCTTACCTCTTCCTCTCTGGCTTATTTCTCTCCCCCTCATGCCAATTTACAGAGTAAGTAAAATAAACCCTTCCCCCATTGCTGCTGCTGCTACTGCTGCTGCTACTGCTGCTACTGGTGCTGCTGCTGTGGAAACGATACGGAATCAGGTGCAGCATAGAGTAGCAGCAGTGTGGCTACAATTCGTTTGCATTTGCCTTGAAGCTGGAGAGAAAATAAGAAGGGGTTTGATTCGACAAAGATACTTGTTACAACCCCACCCGTTTTACGTATTTTTCAGATTACCTGGCCAGCAGCACTTCTGCTGAACCCAACAGCCTCACAATCCGCTGCTGCCTTCAACTCATCGCCTTGGGTCGAGTAGAGGAGGCGCTACGCTTTCTAGAAAAGTTGTATGGAACAGAAGAAGGCGACAGCGCTCCAGGTATTTATTCTTTCTAACTTAATCCGAATTATTCCTCATGAAGTAAGCATTTGGCCATTGCTTCTACTCCTGTGCAAATGCACTTCGTTTACTCTGTTTATTTGGGGGAACAAAAGGGTCTAGCATTGAATACCGTATGAAGCATCATCTCTAACCAATGCTGATTATGTTAAGAGAGTGTTCATGTGTTTCATTGTTTGTGGTATCCGTTTGTGGCTACTCCTTTCCTTCGTACAGCAGCAGTTGCTGCATGAGTTGTGAGTGAAGACAGCAGCGAATCCTCTTTTCTGTTTTGTTACTGCTCAGGAGTTGCAACAGATTGTTTTGAAGCTGTAGGCTGGAGTGCGCTAGAGCGTCTTGACTTACCTACTGCATGCAGCGCGTTTGCTGCTGCTCAGCGCAGCGATTTGGTTTTCTCGCTTTGCTCATTAGAAGACGTGGAGGAGATCGCGGCTCTAAAAGGGCATTTAAAAGGTTTGTTGCTTCTACAGCATGCGTAGGTAGCTGTACGGATCTCAGGTTGCAGAAGTTTGTGCACGCATGCATGCAAACAAAAACAAACAAAACACCCAAAACAAACGCTTGCGGGACCTCCCAAGCAAAATACTGCTTCCTCGTGAGAGCCCTCGTAGCAGCCTGCCTGTTGCTGCCTTGCTGCAGGGAGTCTGTATTTGTCTTCTTTTGCTGAGTGCCTGCAGCACGC